ACATTGACCTGAACAGAGCCTACCTAAAGGATTGCTTCCCCCTACCCAGAATTGACCGCCTAGTAGACGTGACCTCAGGGCATGAGTTGTTGAGTTTCATGGACGCCTACTCTGACTATAATCAAATTAGGATGGAAACAACTGACCAAGATAAAACTGCTTTTGTACTTGAACTCGGGTTGTACTATTATAAAGTTATGCCCTTTGTTTTGAAAAACACTAGAGCAACTTTCCAACGACTTGTAAACAATATTTTTGAACCTTTGATTGGCAATAAAGTATAATGTTATGTTGATGATATGGTCGTGAAAACCCAAATTTCTAGATCTTTAATCGATGATTTAAATGTTGTTTTTCAAATTCTAAGGAAATACAACATGAAGTTAAACCCGAATATGTGTGTCTTCGGAGTCACGTCAAGCAAGTTCATCGGTTACATAGTGAACTGACTTGGCATCGAAGCAAACCTGGACAAAATCAAGGCCATCTTAGAAATGCGACCACCCCATAATTTCAAGGAGGTACAACGACTAACTGGCCGAGTAGCTGCCTTAAACCGATTTATGTCTAAATCGGCAAGTCGCTGCCTTCCCTTTTTTAAAGCAATTAAAAAGATTGAGACTTTTCAAATGGACTGAAGAGTGTCAGCTTGCATTTGATGATTTGAAAAGGTACCTAAGCACCACCCCGGTTTTAACCTGATACGAGGAAGGAGATTAGTTGAAGTTGTACCTCTACACGAGTGACGAGGTGGTCAGTTCGGTACTAATTATAAAGGTATATTAGGTTCAACAACCCGTCTATATGCGAGTAAACTGTTGCTGGATGCAGAAACCAGATACCCCGATATTGAGAAGCTAGCGTATGCGCTAGTGGTGGCAGTTTGGAAACTACTTCCATACTTCCAAGCCCATACCATCGTCGTCCTTACTGATAGACCTCTGAGGCACATCCTACTTAAGCCCGAGGTGTCAGGAAGATTAACGAAGTGGTCCATCGAGCTTAGTGAGTACAACATCCGGTTCGAGCCATGCTCAGCAAACAAAACCCAAGTAGGTGCGAGACTGGTATTGTACGGCCTAAGCGAGGTGAAGTTGGAGTACGCTCTCTGGTTCGGATTCGAGGCGTCAAACAACTAGGCGGAGTATGAAGCGCTAATTTCCAGGCTGAACTTAGCGAGGGAAATGGGAACAAAACACCTCAGCATGTGCAGCGATTCTCAACTGGTGGTTAACCAAGTCAATAGTGATTATGAAGCACGCGATTCCGCCATGGCAGCCTGTTTGACCAAAGTCAAAGAGATCCTACCAAGCTTTAGCTCATGTTTCATTAGGAAAATTCAGAGGTCCGAGAACGCTGAGGCCGATGCCTTATCACGACTAGCAAGTACAAGCAACAACACCATGCAAACTGTGAACATAGAGGACCTGCCTCGGCCTAGCATTCTCAGGGGGGCAGAAGAGGTCGCTCTCGTGTTGCAAGCGGAACTAAGATGTGTTGATCCGCTTGTTGATTATCTGCTCCACGGGACCCTATTTGCAGAACGCAATGTAGCTCGGAGGGTAGAGCGGAATAAGCCCGGTACGTCCTCATAGACGGACGACTGTACAGGAGATCCTTCACGCTCCCCTACCTACGTTGCCTGCGACCCTCAGAAGTTGAACTCGTACTCCGCGATATCCATGAAGGTTTATGCAGAGGGCACTATTGGCCCACAATGAAGACAGACACTTCGGGGCCCTAGAACCGAAGTGACACGTAATCAACTCCAGAAGCTTCCCAACGGACTCCGAACCTCACGGGATCACGCCGCGTAACAACAGGCCTTATCCTCTCCCTGCCGGGATCGGGCGGAGATGATAAACTTCATTAACTGATACGTTACTCCCTGACTAAAGCATAAACGATTCTCATCTACTCAGGCCGAATATCTCAAAACCATTTCGTGAGATCCACGGCAACTCAACTATATAAGGGCATCAACCCCTCAAGGACCCAGGTACGCGCAATTACTTTACATTCAAGCTCTCTAAAATTCAAATTTTAGCTCGCAACCACAACAGAATACTGACTTTAGCATTCAACCACAATAGATACCCTGATATTGAGAAAAAATTACATTTTCAAAATTTCAGTTAATTTATATTTCCCCAAATATTTTCATGAAATTTCCATAAATATATTGATAACACAAAAAAAAATTGTGATTTTGAATGTAAGAAATGTAGACCAACATAAATTTAAACATTAAGGAAAAAAATAAATCACAATATATTATAGAAATTGAAAAGCTTTACCTATTTTTGCCATATTTTTTCAAAATTTGAAAACTATTAAAAAAAAATTAACGATATACACTTGTTTCTTGCAAACTTTTGCAAATACGACACTCTAGAAATGAAGTTTTGAGTTTTATAGTCATTTGGGGGTGAAAGAAGGCTTATTTCAGGGAAGGAAACTTGCTTTTCCCTTTTTTCTTTTAAGTTTTTGGTCGTATCTTTTTCGTCGGTACACTATCGATATGCTTCGATACGTCCCCAATACGGGTCCGATATGCATGGAAAAAGACAAAATGTCCAATTTTCATGTGTATTTCGTATATGTTTTTCAAAGATACGATACGGTATCCTCCGTATCATGCATATCATATGTAAATTTTAAACCTTGATTGAACCAATGCAAATGGTGAAGCACCTTAAAGACATTTGGATTTAGGTATTTGGCTAGTTAATAAAGAAAATTAGAGGATACTCAAAAGGCATATTATATATATATATATATATATATATATATATATATATATATATATATATATATATAATAACACAGGGTGCCTGGACGATTTATCAATTAAAAAATAAAAAAATAAAACAGCGGTTCGACCATCCGGTTCGAACGGATGACCCGTTCTGACAACAAAAATTACTAGCAAAAAGTTGAGAGTGTGAGGTCTATTAAGTAGTACATACGTGTTATGTCATTCGAGCGTGTGACTTATACAACTCGAAAACGAAACAGTTTTGGCCACCGGTTTTCAAGTCAACAGTTTTGATTGTTTGGTTCAAACAAACAACCCGTTTTGACAACAAAAATTAAAAAATATAAAAAATGGCCAAAAACCATTGAACGGGTCAATGGGTCATTGACTGATTCAACGGTTTTTGGCTATGGGTCGGGATTGGGATAAAGCGAAACCGGTTGCCTTGATGATTCCCAATTAAAAAAAAAGGACCAAAAAACATTGAATGGGTCAACAGGTCAACGGTTCGACCACATTGGTCAATGGGTCATTGACCAATTCAACGGGTTTTGGCCAAGGACTTGGATTAGGGTAAAATAGAACTAGTTGCCTAGATGGTTCCCGGGTTGATATGTCTATTCGTCCTAGTCAACGACAGTTCAAAAACCATGGTTTTATATGCGGGTGGATTTTTGCTATTCAAAGGTTTTTCTACTGTGGGCTTTATTCGAATGTGTGCGGTATATTCATTTTTTTCCTTTTTTGTTTTTATTTTGTGTTTGGTCTCATTCAATATCTTCCAAAACAGTTTAGGGTTTATTACCATTTTATTTATTCCCTTCTGTTTTTTTCTTTTGGGTTTTCTTGTGCAATGTTTTTTTTCCTTGCAAGACGACCTGCTTTTGATTGCATGTATGTTTATCTCAATCTCAAAGCAGAACTTTTGACTTATTTTTTTTATTTATTTCCTTGTTTTTTCCAATTTGATGGATTTACCGCCAATTTGTTTGTTCAGTGTTTAAGGTCACTTTGGATATATTTTCCAGGGTTTTGGAATCCCTTACAATGTCCACCCTTCAGTGAATATAACTACAAAGTTATTTCATATAATTCTTGACATATAGAAAAAATGACCTAGAAATGAAACCATCTTGACCGTCGGTTTTCAAGTCGACGGTTCGACCGCCCGGTTCGAACAGATGGCCCATTTTGACAACAAAAATTTAAAAATAAAAAATAACCAAAAACCATTGAACGGGTCGACAATTCGACTGCCCAAGTCAACTGGTCATTGATTGATTCAATGATTTTTGGCCATGGACTAGGTTTGGGGTAAAACATAACCAATTGCTTGGATGGTTCCTAGGCCAAATAGTCCTACCATCCGGGTCAATTGGGAGTTCTAGATGTGAAGCAAACAGATATGAAGTAAAACTTAGGACTATCACTTTATGATCATGTTCTTTTATATGAGATGTTTTGTTGAAACAATATTTAAAAAACGAGCATATGATTATCTTTTTTTTAAGTTTTATATGAGTTTCAAGACTTTTTTTTTGTAATATAAATTGAATATATTCATTAAATGCAAAAAAAAATTAAGGAGTACTATCTTCAAAACTTAAATACTTATAAGTTTCTTATTAATAAATCATTATCTTAATATATCATTAATAATGTTAGAATTCCAATACAGCACCTCTGAAAAAGCCCCCTCAGCTAGTTTATATTATTTCACATGCCATTTAAGAGGATTAACAATTTTTAACTAAACTGGGACGTTTTAAAAATTCAGCTACTAAATTGACACGTCACGAAATATATACGGATACCAAAATGGGGCTAGACCTAATACCTAAAGTTAATTCATAGTTTCATACTTAATTGCACATGTGTAATAATGTTATTGCTTTGCTTTATTGTTAAAAACTATTATTTACTCCATGAGAATTTAAAAAACGAACCAAAACATTCTGAGGTTGGATAACAAAAACCAACATAGCATTCATCTGATCGTCATATTTGCATCCTCCTACCGGTGTGAGGATGCGCAAAGTGTGAGAAGCAGATCCGGTCTCCGATTAATATTACCCAAATCAAATCACTTTATTAAACCCCCGCCCCGGTAAAATAAAAATCTTTTTCAAATCTCCTTTCTGTCGCTGTTCTGCTTCTTCACTTCTTCGGTTCCAGGCCAGGGATTTTGTAGCGTGAAAACTGAAAAGAAGCGAGCCGGCAAGCAAGGAAAAGAAGGAAAGAAATGGACGACTACACGAGGGAGATGATGGACCTCAAAACCCTAGTGACTCGAACTCTCGAGAAGAAAGGTGTTCTCGCTAAGATCAGAGTAACTACTGAATTCCTTTTCTGTTATCTGTCACTATTTACATATTTCGTTTCTTTTTTTTTTTTTTTTCTTCCGGCTGCATTCGGCGGGAAATTGGAATCTTGATAGGTGACGTGTGGAATTTACCGGGTGGGGGTGCTTGCTTTTGGATGGGGAATAGTACTAGGAAGCTTCAGTTGGTTGAGTTATGTGATGTAGTTGGTCTAGGGTTTCCCTTACATCTAGGAGTCTGAGTGCGTTTTGGTCGAAACCCTAGCACATTTGCGGAATTGTCGTTGGAGAATGAACTTATGCGGGTAACTGTTTGCTGGCTAACGAGCGGTTTTATTTGTGAGCCTACTAAATTTGTTTCTAGATTATGTTTCTGCTGACTGAAAACAAACAATAAGATGTAGAGTACTTATAGGAAGAAAAGTTCAGTCGTAACCTTAAAACCAAGAGCTCCCGCTTGCAAAACCAAAAGGAAGAATGTATTGGAATGACGAGATTTATGCCTCAAATATTTGCAGGGTTGGAATTCAGAGGAAGATTGTACACGAGAGAACTTGAAATGGTCCTATAGGACATATTCATGATTGATAACACGTGAATCTATATATTGGATTTGTTTTTTATTTCATTTATTATAATATTTTGGATTCCCTTATATCGTTCTTAGATAATTTATGACTGAGCACATGCTCAGACTTATGGTTATAGTCTAAGGAGGATAGAGATACTCAAATTTCCCCCTTTATCATGGCCCCCAGGGGATGTGCTTTTTTCCCATTCTCTTACATAAACTACAAGGATATTGTTTTAACTTGGTATAAATTGACTTTTTTGTTTTGATTCCCTCAGGATCTGTTGTATTTCACTCTCAGGAAGGGTTAAGAGATTTGACCCCTCCCTCCTTTCTATTCTACTTTATGCTTTCATTTTATCATTAATAAAATTCTGTTAATTATCCCCCCAAAAAGTCATGTTTCACAATTTTATAATGAAAAGAACTCCTAGCCCCCCTCCTTAATGCTGCATCTGAGTCTTTTTTATTAACTTTTTTCTTTGCTAGGCTGAGCTTAGGGCAAGTGTTTTTGAGGCCATTGAAGAGGAAGATCGGGAAATCGAAAATGAAGATAGTGTGCCTTCTGCATTACTGGGTAGCTGCAATGACCGTGCAAAACAACTTCATGTTTCTCCTTCAGGTTCCTTTTCAAGTCCTTGTTCTCAAGACAAAACCAACTGCTGATTTACCTTTAACGTGCCTAGGTTGTTGGATCTTGATTTTGGAAAACTGCATTTTTTTGATAAGTAAACAGAAAATTTTATTAAGGGCCCGTTTGGCAAGTCTTTTTGAGAAGATCTTCTTGTAGCTCTGACAGCCAATAGACGCATTGGGCTTTTGACATAAGATCTGGGCAGCCTGAAGACCGTTTGGCAAGTGCGCATCTTTCCGTGCATCTTTTCGGGTCTTTCTGCGCGAGATTAAAACGCGAAAGATGCGAGAAGCTTCATTTGAAGCTTCCCGAAATCATCCTGAAATGGGCTTCTTGCATCTTTTGGCAGCTAGATCTTCCGCGTGCCAAACGGGAATATATCGATTTTGGGTCTTCCCGGGTTGTAAACAGCCGAAAGACCGTGCAAAAAAGACGCACCAAACGGCACCTAAAGAAACAAACTGGATACATCCAAAACAAGTGTTAAGATAACACTTGCACAAGCACCTCGGAAAGACTCCTAAACCATACTGAGACAAAACTTACAACAGAACAGCTCAAAAGAAAAACAAATTTGCACTGATACTTCATAAGCAAATCTGCACCCATGAAGCGCAATTAATCTTCAATCTCTCCAAACTCTTCACTGCTCCCCTCCTTATCTCAACTTTCTCTTTCAAGATCACCAACTGCTTTCCTCAAACTTTCTTCCTTCCTCTTTCTTTCAAAGGCTTCCTAACAAGACTCTCGCTTCCCAAAAAGAATAAGCCTAGGGACTTTCCAATTTCCACCCTTCTATCAACTGAACTCTTCAAATCCACACTTTCCTTTTCTTCTTCTCCGGATCCACATTGGAAGAGGACTCAAAGCTCCTATTTTCATTTGAACAAACCAAACTTTCTCCCAAGCCAACCTTTCTCAGATCATCATCTTGGGAGAATGCTGAATGAATCTCGTTCTCATTGTCCAATCTGCAAAGGTCACTTCTCCACTTGGGGGTTTTCAAAACGAGAAAATCTAGATTTCAGTTTTCTTCTTTTATAGATTCTTTTGTACATAGTTTTCAAGGTTCTATAACCATATTTCATTAAAAATTATCCATAATTTTTAAAAAAAGTATACACTTAATGTTAAAGTATAAAAATTCAACATATTCATGGGAAGAAAAAGAAGAAAGAAAATAAAATTCAAAAAATATAGGGGCTGAAGAAATTTTAAGTTCTTCCTTACTTATTGGTTCAGGTTTTAAACTCTTTGAGGTTTCAACTCACAAAATGAATATTTTATTTTAATAATGTCTATTTTATAATTATAATCTCAAAAAAAGTAAGAATATAAATGCATTTTATAATAAAATATACAAACTGCTTGGCGATTAGGTGGGGTGAGCCTCAAAGGGCGTCTTGTTGCCTAGACGTTGCCTTGACAACTATGCTTTTGTATCTGTTGGTTGGCTCAACACCTACCAGACCATCTCTCAGAAACACCTTTGTAACATGAACCATGTTAGACAACATGCTTTGGAAATCTTATTCCCTTCATTCATAGTGGTGGGAGAGTCTCAAATGGCTTCTGTGGAGGGAAGACAAATTCTGGATGGAGTTCTTGTAGCAAGCGGATGTATTAACTATAGGATCAGGTCTGGTAGGCCAGGTTTGGTGTGTAAAATCAATATTGAGAAGGCATATGATCATGTGGAATGGGGTTTCTTGGAGGAAATTCAAAGATTGATGGGTTTCGGGGAAAAATGGAGGAGCTTGATTTATGCTTGTGTCTCTTTGGTTTCTTTCTCAATTTCATTGAACAGAGTTTCTTCAGATTTTTTTCAAGCATCCAGGGGCCTGCTGTGACGGATTAGCCACCATCATCGCCATCAGCACGCCATCTAAGTGTCTTGGGTTGGGTCCTTGTACTCTTTTTGTAAAGGGGGGTATGCCAATGGCAATTATGTAAATAGTAGTATGAATATTCAGTATTTTGATGTATCATTTTGTCACTCCCTCAAAAGCTTAACGTACTCTTTGAGGGGAGGTAGGTAGTCGAGTGAGCTCATAAGCGTGTAAAGGTTAAGCACGAGATCCCCTCGACACTGTATTGTGTGTTTGTGCTTACCACTGATTAATTTAATACAAGTTGCCTTTTGTCTAATTTGTGTGCATTCTTGTTTCCTTTTGTGTGTTGTTGCTTGCATTTGTAGGCTTTCTCGACCCCATCGAGCGCCGCACGGGGCCCCGTCGATTAGCCCCATGACACTGCGGCAGGGAGATCCCCTGTCCCCTCTTCTCTTTGTATTGGTAATGGAGGTTCTTAACTTGCTGCTTGCTAAATTTGTTTAGTATGGATTTGTTGAGGGATTCAAAGCTGGGTCTGATGGCCCATGTATATCACACTTGCAATATGCTGATGACACGCTAATTTTCCTGGATGCTACTATTGACCAAGTCCTTAGCCTGAGAGCAATTCTAGCTAACTCTGAGATGTTGACAGGTTTAAAAGTGAATCTAGCAAAGAGCACTATCATTGGGGTAGGGGAAGTGGAGAGAGAAGTGCTGTTGAATTGTGTTGTAGTATTCGAATGTCAAGTTGGGGAGCTTCCATTTCAGTATCTGGGGATGCCGGTTGGTGCCAGATCCTTCGCTTAATCTATTTGGAGGCCAATCATTGAGAGAGTGGAGAAGAAGCTGGATAGGTGGAAGGCTAAGTACTTATCCTTGGGGGGCAGAATTGCCTTGGTTAGAAGCATTCTGTCTAGCTTGCCAATGTATTATATTTCTCTCTTGAGAATACCAGCTGAGGTGGCTAAGAAAATTGAAAGGCTACAGAGGGAGTTTCTTTGTGAAGGGGTGGGAGGTCCTAAGAAACTTCACTTGGTGAGTTGGGACTTGGTTTGTAGACCAAAGAAGAATGGGGGTTTGGGAATTAGAAGGCTGAAAGTGTTTAATATGGCCTTGCTGGGTAAGTGGTTGTGGAGATTTGGATTAGAAAAGGAGAAGGATTCTCTACAGTGATTTAAAAGGCATGCCTAGGCGCACAGGCGAGGCGCATTTTAGGGTAGGCGCCTTGTCCAGGTCCTAGGCACAACCCATTCAAAAGGTGCATGCCTGGTGCGCCTTGCACCTTAGCCCATGCGTGCACCTTTTGAAAATTTGACGCTTTTTTCTTTTTTTGAGTCTAGCGGCTGGGACAGGGGCTCCGCCCTCAGACCCCCGTGCCACGCCCCTCGATGCTAGCCCAAACAAGTCCATGGACTTGTTTTGGTAATGCTGTCCATTCATTCATCCTAATAAAGTATCTTCTTAAAAGCAATTAAAACTATAAAATCATTATTTTTTGTGTGAAAACTCAGAATTTAAGACCCTAACATGGACTTATTTGGGCTTACCTCGAGGGGCGTGGCACAAAGGTGGCTCGTAGAATTAGGAATGTAAAATGTTACATTAGCTATTTGATTTAATTGAGAAAAAAGAGATTGTGGGTTTTATATGCTTGAAAATGTTTTATATGTTTGATTTCATTTTTAAATTCTCATTTGAATATGCTTTACATATTATGTTTATGTATTTTAATTTTAGATAATAGGTTTTTTAAAACATTTATTTTAAAATTTAAGTTTATATTTTTATTAATATTATGTTTTATAATTTTTTGAAATTTTTGTCATTTTTTATTTTTTATCCTTTTTTTAAATAGTGCACCTTGGCTTGTGCCTTGCGCCTCAGGTGCAAAATGGCCCTTGCGCCTTTTTTAATCTTCCTGTCTATTACATGTCGATCTTTAGGATGCCACAAGTTGTGATTAAAAGAATTGAGATCATGAGGGATTTCTTGTGGGAGCTTGGGGAGGGGAAAAAGATCATTTGGTTAGGTAGGAAAAGGTGAGATAGTTGAAAGAGGAAGGGGGTTTAGAAATAGGAAATGTGAAGATGAAAAATGTGGCTCTGTTAAGTAAATGGCTTTGGAGGTTCCCTAAAGAAAATGATAAATTATGGACTAAAGTTATTTCAAGTATCCATGGGTCGTCAAGCAATGGCTGGGATGCAGGCTGCTTGCATAGAGCTACTTTGGCTGCTCCTTGGAAGGCCATCCATGAAATACTTTCATTTGGATTGGGGATTCCCCCTTGTCCGAGGTGTTCCCTTCCCTTTTTGCTCTCTCCAGCTTCAAAGGAAAACCCATTAGTGACTTTATTTTCTCTTCCTGCTCACTTTCAAATCTGAATTGAAATCTGGGTTTTGTTAGAAATTTGAGAGAATCTGAATTGTCTAGTGTCTCTGCTTTAGTTAATTTGCTGAACTCTGTAATCTTGGGGGGACAGTGGTTCAGACTCTAGAGTTTGGGCACTCAATCAGTCAAGGTCTTTCTCTTGCAAATCCTTCTTTAATTCTCAAGTTGCTTCTGATTCCTCCCCTTCTTTCCCTGTCAAGGAGATTTGGACTTACCCCATCCCTCCTAAAGTCAGCGCGTTCCGTTGGAAAGTGTTCCATGATTCCATCAATACCTGTGACCTGCTTCAGAGAAAAAGACCAATTTGATGCTTGTCCCCAAATCGGTGCTCCTTATGTAAGCTGCACGGTGAGACTGCAGTATTTGGAGTTGAGAAAGCTAAAGAAATGGGGATTGAGAGGCTGATTGTTGAAGGGGACTCAAAAAACTGTGGTGAACTGGTTGAAGACGGGAAGGAATTAGTTGGCAACTAAGGAACGAGCTCAGGCGCTTCAAACAGGCTTCTAAAGACATGGTGATTCAACTAAGGTGGATTAGAAGATCAGCTAATAGCATGGCTGATGGACTAGCTAAACAAGGAGTTCAAAGACAATCTATGTTTTGGGCTACATTTTAGTTAGCGGAGGTTTATGTTGGGTTACCCTTTGGGCTGTGTTGTAATTAAACTATTAAAGGAATTGGCACTAGGGTTGTTTGTGGCAATGGTGTATTTAGTGGGAAACTATGGACTGCTTGTCCGCCCTCAGCTTCTTGTTGTACATGACT